ACTGTCTTAAATGGAGGGAAGAACTAATGGAATATAAGGTAACCACAATGGGGTTGGGGTGGGGGATTTAGTTTGGGTGTTGGGGAGGACAATACAAGAAGTGGGTAGGAGGCAGAAGAACACTAAGACAGGTTTGCATGGCCCAGTGGGACAGAGGTAAATAGTGATGCATATTCAGCCTTGGAACAACAGGGCTCTGGGATACAGGAATCTAGGTATAGCTTGAAGAGGGTAAATAATACTAAAATCCTTGACTGCTTTATGAATATTAGTTTCCCTTGCCTACTATTGTAAAATTAATATTTGAGTGGGATAGAAAGGAATGTTGGGAAACATGATTAGAGAAAACTTGTAATCCCGTCTTCAGCCTATAACTGATTGGAAGACCTAAAAGGGGTCCTAGAACTTGCCCAGTGAAATAGCCCTCATGCAAAGGCTTTACAGAGTATAGGACCTTAGGTGGAATCCTGAGTCCCATCCAAAACCTTATGAGGTGGGACATTCCCACTAGAAAGGACAAGCAGACTGAGTAGCTAGAGTGACAGAAGATACATCTTCAAAGAAAGATCATTAGGAAAAACCCAAAATAAAAATGTCAGTATGATTGGCTACTACACCCTTTTAATACTTATCATAGTATAGCCCTGCTGGCAATAATAGTTTGTGTTTTTTTTTTTTTTCCAAGATAGTCTTTGTTTCTTTTAGTGTTGATATTTTTTAATGAGTATAAGCATGTTAATTTGTGTAGATTTTTTTTTTTTTTCTTCTCCCAGCACCTTAAAGACATAGCTTCATTTGCTTCTGATTTTACATGGTTTATAATGAGAAATCCGAAGTCATTCTCATTTATTTCTATGTTGGCAATGTGCCTTTCCCCCCTCATCTGAAAGCCTACAAGATTTTCTTCGAGTTTTACCATCCTGAACATGACATCCATGGGCGTGTATGTGTAAGTATGTGTGGGGTCTCTAATTAACTTTCATCTTATTTCCATTTATCTTACTATGAATTTCTTTGATTTGTTGTTTAATTTTTATCATTAAAATTTTTAAGTTTCACTCATCATCTCCTTAAATATTTATTCTCCCTTCTCTCTTCTTTCTGATTGCAAAAACTACATGGTAGCCATGTCTGATTTCCCCTGGCTTCACAAGGGGGAAACAGAATGAAACTCCAAATCAGCCCAAGGCCAAATCCTAGGGAAGCAGAGGTCAGCAACCTTCCTTACCCTACTCTGACAACAATCATTCCTCCCACAGCACTCTCTGCTTCACATCTGGGTTTGATAACCCATTTCAATGGCTCCAAAGAACTTATAACAAAAGTCATGATTATGGGGTTGACTAGGGAAATGAGCAGGTAACAATTCAGGATCAAAAATCTTAGGACACAGCAGTTCTTCAATCAGAAACACCTCTTGCCTGCCACATTGCAGGCACGCCTCACTCTTATCTTCGGCCGCTAAATTATGCAGTTCCTTGCCATCTGCCCTGCTTAGGCAAGTGTTACAAAATTCTTTTAGCCAATCTGTGAATGCCCATCTTGAGTCTCCTATCACTTTAATCCTCGGTCTGCCTCCTGGAATCCGGTTCCTGTAGGGCTGGCCCCTGCAATGATGTTTTATTGTTGTTGTTGTTATTGTTTTGATGTGCTGCTGGATTCTGTTGGTTAGGATTTTGTTGAGAATTTTTGCATCTCAGTTCATGAGGGATATTGGTTTATATTTTTTTTCTTAGTGATGTCCTTTCCTGGTTTGGGCATGAGGGTTATGCTTGCTTCAAAAAATGTATTAGGAAGTTTTCCATCCTCCTCTATATTCTGGAATAATTTGAGTAGAATTGGTAACAGCTAAATTTGGAAGACAACTATCTGGCCGACTGATTGGAAGAGATCCATATTTGTGCCCATTCCAAAGAGAGGTGACCCAACGGAATGCGGAAATCTCTTGGATATCTCAAGCGAGTAAAGTTTTGCTAAAGGTAATACAGAAACTGCTACAATCATACATTGACAGAGAACTTCCAGAGGTTCAAGCTGGATTCAGAAGGGACCGTGGAACGAGAGATAT